TAAAGCTCCTGTGGTTACCTAAATGTTGTAAACTGTATAACTAAAGCTTCGGCCTCATTCATAAGCTGTTTACCTGGTCAATAAATCACTGCATCCCTCAAGCGACAAGTCATGACAGGAGGTTTAGCTGGGACCTTGGACCTGGATACTTGAAGTCAGAGACAACAAATAGAAATTATCTGTTCAAATAATTACATTAAACCAGGCCTGTGTCCAGACTCAGAGGATAAGGCTGTGAAGTGTTGGGCACAAAAATACAGGTAGCTGCTGCCACACTGACTGTGGTCTTTCATATTGGCCTCTGCATGTCTTACAACTCAGGGGGCTTTGGGCTTTATTCAACCTTGGACACATGAGAACCAGCCAGAGGCATCAATTTTATTTATTTTTTTACCTTGAAAAGTTTTTAAACTTTTAGCCTATGCGCTGTCAAGTGTTTGAATCTCCTGAACTGTAAATCACAGCATTTCTCTTATCCAGTATCGCTGTAGGAAAACATAAATGACATGTCAAGTTGCTCCTCTTTTGCAGCGGCATTTGATCTGAGTTTAACTTGAGACAACTGCACATCCAGTCTCAGACTTATATTCCTTAACACTCATGTAGAAAAATCAGCATCTGGCTTCATCATTTACTCGAAGAGCAGTACACGAGCACATGTGCTGATGTAAAAGCATGCACACGGCTGATTGTAAATGACAAAACTTCTGCTGATGTTAATTTAATGAGTGAATTACACTGAGAGGAAAGCATTTGCTTTTATAACATTTGTGATTTTTCTGTGTTGTCAAAATAATCCTCTGAAGACCATCTTTCCTGCAGCTTTTGTTGCAGAATCACACACTAATAGCATCTTATGTACTTGATGCGCTGCTTGGCTGTGCACATGCTCTGTCTGCGTATCTCTGCCTCTACCGTAAAAAACGAGTACAATATGTTGTCAATATTTAATTTTGTGAGAAGTCTGAGGAGCGTTTTATTCCCAGACAAACGGAGGTGTGTTTACAAGCTGGTGAAAGGCCCTAACAGGTTCCCTCAGAGGGGGAACTTTTCCTGCTAAGGGAGAAGACAGATTATAGTCTTGCACATTCCTCGAGTTGCTGCAGTCTGCTGGACACCTCAGCGCCAGATTCCTCATAGTGGAAACTAAGTGTTCACTTGATACCCTCTTCAAAAGGAGAGCATGGAAGACCTGTGCCACACGTCATGCATGGAGGTGATGGATGATCCCAAATATTTTTACTGAGTTTCATTAATTTACCAGTCAAGCTCAATTATAGAAATTGAAAACTGATATTCAGGAGTATTTTTACTGTGGCTGTGAAGTGGCAGTATGCATTATGCATCAGCCAGTTAAACCCAAATAAATTTGTAAATTACATCTATGTAACACAACACAACAGTATCATATATCTGTGTATCTTCTGTGGCCCCATTAGACCTCTGAGGAGAAACACCTGCTGTGACAGGAGCCATCAGGGTGGTGACACTGACTTTCTCAGCTACAGGGGGTCTCCAGGGTCAATTTGTTCTCCTCAGTCACCTTCACTAACCCCATCTTAGATCGATGATGCTTGACCCAACTCTGCTGAAAGTCAGTCAAGTACACGGACTGGAAAAAACAAGCAAGTCACCATTTTATAACAAGGAAGTCATGGAAGCATTTGGCTGAAAATCCCATCAGGGGAAAAGGTTTTGTTTTTAAAACTTGCATGGCAAATAAATAAATGAATATCTTCATTTGTTTCAAAGAGATAAAAAGGTTAAAGGTTTATAAATTAGACAAGATTTTATAGCCACACCTGTGTAAAAACGTATTCAAACTAATCAATTCTGAGTATAACTGCTTTATTTCCTTAAAATGTTGTGAAACTTTACTCGACTGCTTTGAGCTTTAACCTTAGAAACAAATACAGAGTATGAAAAAAATACTTATTGACAAAAAATTCTTGCTGATTCTTCCTTGATGGTTCAAATGACTTATCTGTTCATTGATTTGAGGGATACAACAAAGAATAATCTCTACAGAGATTAAAATAAATCTATCGTCTCTGCTGGTCAAACATACAGAGTCCTGGACAGTATAATCCTGATTCTGCTCATGTCACCTAAAAACCACTTAAGGTGACTGTCCAATATCGTGTGCCTACTCTGGTATTGAGATTGAATCAAAACTTCAAATACATAAATTAGATAAATAAGAAGAAAACACCTGCCTCAAATCTTGAGCGGGAGAAAAGGCCCTTTAGTACTCAATGAAAAGCCTGTAAAAATGATCATGTTGACACCATCACTGATGGAAACAGGAGCCAAGCATGTTTTATTTATAACTGTAATAATAATTAATTAAAATAAGAGCTGGGACAGCAGCTGTTTTACAGGTAAACGTTGTTTAAACATAGTTTTTTATAGTAATTTTTAGATAAAAATTACACGCAGTGTTGGTACTTATTAGAGAATTTCACAGTCTGTCAAATAAGTACAAAAGCAGCATCAACAAAAGTGACAAAAAAAACGTATTTAAGTCATTTCATATTGTAAAATACACTCATTAAGAGTCCCTCTGTGGTTCAGAAATTACAACCAGAAAGTACCATACAGCAGCAGCAGCGGTGTGTGTTTTACACCAGCAGTCACACTGTTTTCACCTGGTCAAGTCACCCTGTCTGTGGCCCACACTAAGTCTGCAGAGCAGAGGCAGCGTCTGAGAAAAAAGACACCTAGTCTCTTTTACTGCAGACCTGCCCAGTAAAGCTGGAGTCAGTCTGCAAGTGAAGGGTGGAATAAAGGAGTTTCTCAGGTTTAGAGGGGGCCAGTTAGACAGCACTGAGGCCCCGTCCCACTGAGAGCTGGGCCTCTGGAAATGACTTTTTAACTGTTCAGTTATACCACTAATGCAGATTATGTGTTATTTCTGTAAGATATATGTTTGACATAATCTGCAGTGAAAATCAATCTTGTATCTGATATGAACACTAAATGGTATAATAGAAATGTCAGGGTAAAATATAAATACATCTTTTAAATGATTTCTTTAGTGAAACTCTAAATATGCATAAACAAGTTCAGTTCCAGACTGTGTTCAGCTCTTCTTCTTGTTATTGCAGCATACAGGGATTACAGGAATTACTTAACAAGCAAAAGTGCTTACGGACACTCTTTCATTATGCATGATATCACTGAGAAAGTATGTAAGTGGAAACGACTAGTTTTACATTTTTGGTCATGGACCTCTGTGGCGGCACATGGCCCCTTTGTCAGCGCGGGATTATCAGGAGCGAGCGCTTACAAAAGGAAATGCTTGTGGCGCTACAGTAACAGAAGGATAAAATCAGCCGTGTGATGATTGGGGTGACACATTTGTTTGGCTGTAATGAAAATAACCCCATTGATGGAGCATTCAGTCACAGGCCTGAGCCCCCCCACTCCACATCCTGTCTCTTTATCCTTCATACAAGTGGCAGACAGATAGTGAGCAGGGGGATATTACAGCAGCCAGCCGCTGAGAGGGGCTCAGTGTGAGTGTGTGTGTGTGTGTGTGTGTGTGTGTGTGTGTGTGTGTGTGTGTGTGTGTGTGTGTGTGTGTGTCCTATCAACCTGTCACTTTGCATATTCTACTGATGTGTATGACGGAGCTGTCTCTCCTCGGCCCACCAGTTTATCAATTGATGTTAATCCGGAGGCTTTAAGCACTTTTAAATACCTCACATGTGATCTAAAATAAACAAGTCCAACTGACTTTTTCTTTAAACTGAAGTTAAAGAGTTGAAAAATCATCTTATCTGTTGAAATGTTTGAAGTACTTTTTACTGTTACTTAGAAAACCCATATTAACCCTAGAACACTATCGCTAAAATAGGTAACACCATCACTATCACTGGGTGATTTTTACCCAAAATAATACACCCAAGAAAAAGTACTTGTTATCAAAATAAATCAAATTACAGAAGTTTTTCTTTTATTTTTAACTCTGCAATGTGCAAAGGGAGGGAAAAAAAGAGTCATGAAGGGACCATATAAAAATGCAACAAAATAACTGAAATTAGGCATTCATGAACAAAAAATAAATAAAATATAGAAACTGTGAACTTAGCTTCTTTTCCACCCATTCCTGGGTCATTTAAGTCTTTCCTGGTGAAGACTCAGGGTCTTTGGCACAATAACAGCAGCAGGAGAGAGAATCAAAATATGGCCTATTTTCAGTGAGTAAAAATGACCAGCTGACTATTTCTTATCACAATCTGAATTCCCTTTAAAATCACTGCTTTGTGATGGTTATTCATAACCACTGCGCTAAATAAAGATAGCATGCAAATTCCAGGACCACTCTCACTGACCTTATTCGCCTACATGCTGCTGTCAAATCCACCCAAACCTACTTTACCCACTATCACTACTGCCGGGTGAAAATCACCCGAACACGTGCCTGTAGGAAAAAGTGGGTTTCGGATCAGGGAAACAAATATGCCCTCAAAGATGTCAAAGACAATGCTGAAGCTACTCAGAGACCCATGATACTCAGACAAAGGCAACATAATGAAAATCACGTAAACATGTTTGGTCAGCGATAGTGTTTTAGGGTTAAATGGTTGACTGTAAATCAGCATAAGTCTATTATTCTCTTTTGCTGATGAGACTGTAAATACCAAATATCAATGTCAATATGCTTTCATAATTACATTATGCATATTCAAAATTTTTACTTAATTTAAAGTTCAATTGTTCCAAATACAGAAAAGGAGCAACAATGTAGAACACACTCATGTGTGAAGCTGCCATCTGTTCACTTTGCATGTGTCAGACATCACAGTCAAGTAAAAGTTAAAAGAGTCATGAGTCAGATGAGGTTTGGACGCCTGCTCACTCTTCATATCACTGAGCCACAGCAGAGCTCCACTCTGCTGATAAAACATCAGGCCTGATGGTAAACCCAGAGCCCACTTGAAGTGTTTGATTCTGGGATAGCGGCTGTGACTCACTCGTCTGTGTGTGTGTTTCAGCCACTGGGCAACACACATGGTGAGAACATGGTGGAAAACCTTCCTCCAGTGCACCACAAGGCGACTGGATGATTTCAGACTCACTGTATCAGTCAGAAATCTACCCCACGCCCCATCCGTCAGCCCCACTAAAGCCCAGAGCTCAGACGTGCCACACACAGGATTCAGATCAGTGTTCGACATGCACACGGCCACTCTGCCAAATGTCTCAGTAGCTGCATGCAGCTGTTGTATGACGACTACTGGGGATGATAAAGAGAGCAACAGGCCTTCAGCAGCCGGGTTTAGATCTAGTCTGGAATCACTGAGCATGACTTTGAGCTCTGGTTCTTATACTGAACTTACACAGACTCTCGAATACAACCGATTAACTCTGGCAGAATTAAATCACATCATATGTTATCATTAAGAGGCTGTTTTAACCTTAAGTTCAACCTCTTCATCCATTCATCACTGTTGAAATAATGAGTGGCCACATCCATAAGCAGCTGACTTTAAAAATCATCAACTCTCATCACAACACTGGACTAAAAATGTATTTAATGAAATATCTGTAATGACACACAGGCCCTCGATGAACTTATCTGTGGATATATGAACACGAACTGTGAATGTCAGAGCAGAGGACTCAGTGTTTCAACCATAAAAGGAACCTTGTTAGCTGTTGATTCACAGATTATTGGTGCAAAAATATTTTGCATATCTTTTTCATAAGACATGTAGATAAATGAGGGCATATAAAGCAAGTAAGCAACACTGTCTAATGTCCAAAAGTACAGTTACAGGCGCCATATCATAACTAGACCTTTTTCTTTTTTGCAAGTAAGACGGTGTGCAGGTGTTTGCTACAAGTCCGATTATTTTTTCATCTTTCAAAGTAAGGATGGAAAGTGGAGCGTGTTTGAATCCTGTTACTCCCTTCCTCATTTATCATCAGTCAGCTGGTTTAGTTAAGGTAGTCAGTTGGTTTCTTTCAGTCAGTTTACTTCTATAATATCCAGAAACAAGTAAACATACAGTTTTATTTTGTTAAAGAAGATGTTTGACATGAATGTGATTCAACAGCGACACCGAAAAAAGGTCCTGACAACCTTTAGTTTGGCGTCTGAACCCTAAAAAGTCTCCAGACTTTTGTGAGGGGGTTTGTTAGACAGCAGCAGTATCATTAAATACACAAATACATGGAAAAGTTAAAAGAATTAAAAGTAGCACAAGCAGAAATGATCTAAAGCGAATGCAGACGCATCACAAAGATGAAGAAATACATCAGAAGCTGAGAAATAAAAATATCCCTCCACCAACATTTTCTGATGTTCTTGTTGCTTTTTGTGCTCAAGCAGACCCTCCTCTCTCTTTCTATGAGAGTATGTGTGTGTGAGTGTGTGTGTGAGTGCTCTGACATGGTGTTTGTGGTATTAGGTGTTACACAGGGGTGCATTTCCTTCTCAGCTGTCTGAGGAGAACACACCCACTGCGGTGGGGCTCCCCTTCGGCTCCATGTGTGACAGTAATTTTACACAGCCGGGGCCCTTGGTCCCGGAGGTGGGCCATTAAAGTTCAGGTGAGGTTAATTACAGAGAATTGTTAAGGCTGCTGCTGTGCGCTGGACGGGTGGGAGGGATTTGACGCCTCCAATGCTGATTTCTGTGTGACAAGCCTCCGCCAGCTCCACGGGTGTTCAGCAGCAGATTTACACACAACACCTACAGGCGCCAATCATTCACCGAAACAGCTTGAAATTAAACCCCACTACACGGCCACATGAAAATACTACAGCTTGTTATTATGCTCGATGTATAAATTACCACACACAACATGCAATTATCCACATGAAATACGCAGAAATTGACTGTAACTACCTCTAAATAAACAGCCAAATTTAGGAGAATTATTTTGCACACAGGGAAGGAGATCTCTTCTTTCCACCGACGAGGTTTCATTAACCCTGAGACGAGCCAAAAGCACAAGAAAACAAGCAAAGAGCGACTCGAAGATGCAGTCTGCTGTGTTTGAGTAAGGATGAGATTATATTGGATTAAAGGGGATTTTTGCAATGCAAATGAATGCACCTCAAATCAATAAGGCCTGTTCTACTCAATATACAAACTAATTAAGAGGTAATGCAATCAAACCAGAATAAAACAGATTGTGCAGCTTCCTCAGAAAGAAATCCAATCAAACCTTTTTATGTGAAAAGATAAAATCTAAAGCGATCTCTCTTTGTACAAATAATGACCTCGGCTTTGTGTCCATTTAATAAGGAAAACTTGTCTTAAGAGGTTACGCTCAATGTGCATATTCTAATCAATATGAATTACATAGGGCTTTATCTATGTTATCTGCTCCAGACTGCTAAGCTAATTAATGTTTTATCGAGTGTTTTAACTCAATTATTTTGCAAAGTCAAAGAGGTTCAACGCAATTTTCTATGAGCAGCAGCAGCAGCAGCAGCATTTTCAGAGGGGAAGAGGTGGATGAATTCAGAGGCCTTTTAAGAGACACACACAGAAAGACGTGTTCTTAACTGAGGAATGGACTCAGTTTAAGCTTCAACATTAAAGAGATTCTTTAAAAAAAAAGTGAAATATTATTGTAAGGACTTAAGTTTTTAGGAAGCCGCTCTGACACAGTGTTACATTTGCTCTGTATCATTACTAAAGTTTGGACGGGTCCCCCCCTCCTCTTGCGCTTCATTCCAGCTGATTGCTCATTTTCTAATGCTAATGGTGCTGGGCCGGGGCTAGGGTTTCTACCCTGTCAGCTGGCCACTGGGGCTGTGGGACGGATCTAATGGGCTCTGACAGGAGGGAACTGATCTCATTCAAAGGGGATTTGATATGTGGCATGAATGTGGTGACCCTCAATGGACATATTAATGACCGTTATCATTCACAGACTTTGAGCCATTCATAAAGCCTCTTTTCTGTTGGATGCACCGGTGCTGCGCCAAATGCCATGACTTATGGATGAGCTGGCCGTATATTGTTTTCACTGCCTTTTAGGTAACACGTCAAAGTGACTCACAGCTCTGCTCTGGCAGCAGAGGCGGCGGCTGGTCCAATGGTTTGAGCAGTATTGCGCAGTAAATAATAACATGGTGGGTGTTGTTTACAATTCAATTACGACCACACGCTGGCAGAGGAAGAGACAAAGGCCTACAGTCACAGGAGGCATCAGTGTAAAGTCACACAGTCAATATTTAGTTTCACCCCCTCTGCTATTTATGACTTAGGTTTCTCTTTATGCATTCAAAGTATTGTTTGAGCTCATTTTTTATCCTCTGCCTTAAGGTAGGTAAAAGAAAGAGAAGCAGGAAAATTGTCAAGAGAATGGGGCGAGTTTTTACAATCACTACAAACACTCATACATGTGGTGCGAGACAGCTCTAGATAAATCTGTTAAAGTTTGAGCGCGTATATAAATAAATGGGCTAACCAACACGATCGAACTGAGTTCATGAAAAGATTAAAAAGGAAAAATGTTAATATATTTGACCACTTGACCTGTCTTTGCCCTGTTGCTTAAACAAGCTTCATTAAGCGGTGACTGCACCAAAGGAAGGAAAAAACAGAGTTACAATCAGCGTGTGGATGCTCTGGAATAAACAAGCCTGAAAAAGGCAAAGCACAAAACTGAGTAGCCACATTTTAAATGTCTTCTTGGGCAGGATGTTCATCAGCGTGTGGTTTCCCCAAAAATCCCAAACAAATCTAGCCTGTCTATAAATGGTCCTATGGTCATATTCAGCTATACATGCATTCAGCAAGAAGTGAAGAGGAGAGATCCTTTATTACACGCTGAAGCAAACACATGTGGCTGAGGGGCCGCAACCTGAGCTAGTCCTGCTGGTACCTGGATAAGATAACTGTCAGAAACCAGCGTATCTTTAAAAGAGCAGCCATTATATGATACAGCAACCAAATCCTGTACTCATCAACAATCAGAGAAAATGGATGCACAATCATCTTTTTGTAGCACAGAGAAAAACAAAATCAGAGAAGTATGTGTTCATGTTTTTTTTAATGGAAAAAGTACATTTAAGCTACATAAATGGTTGCTTTTACAAATTTATTATTTTCCTCTGATTTTAATGATTTTTTTAATAAACTTTGAGCAAAACTATAGGTGTTTTCTCTTTCCCTGCACCCACTATTAGCAGGATGGAGGTGCAGATCAGTGCACAGCAGCAGCAGCAGCAGCAGCTTGGGAGGTGCTGTGAATCATTCTCGACAGATGCACAGGAAGTTACATGCCTCCACACGTCGAGGTGTCACCAGCAGCATTTTAACATTTCCAATTTTAATCTCAGATTCCTGCCATATGTCAGCTTCAAAACGAAGTTGTGTTTTTTTACATCCTCCCTGACTCCTAATAACAATCTGTGCACTAACAGGAGATGTCACTAACACGCCGCTTCTATGTGTTGCTCACTAAAACATTGTTCTTAAAATGTGTTACAAACATTGAATTGTTTAAATCACGATGCTCACTTTTTTAGCTTAAGCACGGGGAAATGTACTTTTCCTGTATGTTTCTAGATCTAGTTTGATCATTTTATTAAATAATGCAACTTTACAAATTGTCAAAAGAAGCTGCAACATCAAGATATTTTCTATTCAGATCATAATAATATGGAAATAACATGATAATGCATTATTAGTGCTTCTGCTCCTAACAATGCCATACTGCACCATGTTGATACTTTTACCTTTTACTTTATTTTTGAGTACTTAGATGAGTTTGAATACAGGGATTCTTGTTGTGACAGTGGCCTACTTTTACGTTGTGATAGATGGTTTAACTTTTACTTCAAGGTACACAATATTTAGTGATATCTAGTGGTCAGATTCTAGGTTGAAATGCTCTCTTGCTCACCCCTCCTGCCGGTGAAGGGATGGTGGCCTTACAGTAGAGGACATGTGATGCAAAATAAGTGTGATCCTCCATTTGTCAAGATTTTACTATCATAAAGATCTATCAGGTCATTTTTTTGCACAGTACAACCACTCTCTTCTTTTGTCTTTGTCACCCACTAAATAAAAAGTGCTCGTGTTCCTGTTCGTTAATTTCTGCGATAGTAAAAATATGGTGATGCAAGATAGTGAAAGAGGATACACAACTATGTAGATTTAAATGGTTAACTAAAAAATTGAATGTTTTTCAGGTGGTTAAAAACTGACCAAACATGCCTATGAACATTATTTGCCATTCCTTCTGAGTTTGTTTTTTAACTACTCAAACTGCACCTTTAAGCAGGAGTCACTCCACTAACATTTGAAGCTTTTCCTTAAGGGAAAAAAAAATAGGTAAACTAAAGTGCATCTGTTGTACGGGCGCACAGCAATCTCAAGTGAAACATTCAAATCAAATGTGACATAAGAGCAAATATAAGCCCAGTCCACATCACCA